TGATTAAATACCCTGGCAAATATTATTACCTAATGAATACAAACTATCAGTAATTTTTAAAAGAAAAATAATAGGACTAAAACTGAAAAATCACTAGAAGAAAGATGAAAAGTAGTTTAATTATTAGTCAGAATGTTCTAAAACAATTATCTTATTTGGGAAGATAAATATACGAATCAATGTATAGCATGTTATAAAATTACATAAATTGCCAAAAATATGTCAACATGGAAGACCAGCCAACACAATAACAGAAACACTATCTATAGCTTCCCAAATATATTGGAAGAGCCAGGGAGAGAACACAGAACAATTTGTCAAGACAATAAAAAAAAAAGGAAGACATGATGCACATGTAGATAGATTAAATTATCCAACTATAAGGCAAAGAATATATGAATGAACAAAAACTACAAAAATTATACGCATTATAGCTCAAATTGTATAATTCATACATGTGTAACACACACACGCCAGATAAAAATATACCAAAATATTAAGGTTATTTACCATTGGGCTGTAGGATTATAAGTAAATATATTTTCTACACAATGATTTTCAGTATTCTCTAATCTTCCATGCTGAACTGATATTCATTTTAAATTGCAGTAAAAACTTATTTTAAAAGAAGATATTGGTTGCACTTGAACTGAGTTTATAACGTCATTTTTCTTTCTTCAAACAAAAAATAAATATCAGATATTTACAATTGTAAAAATAGTTGGCGTAAACACAAATAAATCAATACTAACAATTTGACTCGGTTTTCCCTTATCTCTGGATACTGAAATTACTTCAACTTGAAGATAGAGTTAACTAATTTTAAACATTTTTGAGCCAGGCACTGGAGGTGACGGAAGGCACAGAGGATACAGGGAAGAATTTGCATGAAAGCATTCTCGCCCAGTTCCGGTAACTTAATTACCCAATGCTCAGTACGTGTTGAGTTGATTTAAGTCATGTGGCAAGTGCTACAGTTTCTACCCAAGGAAGGCACTGGACCAGAAATCATCATTCGGCATGACTTCATCATGCAAGGCTGCTGACAGCCAGAAGAGATCAAAAGCAGATCAGGTTGCTTAACAAACCACATGTCACCGAGCCCCGAGAGCCAGGGGCACCCTGTGGAAATCTCGGGAACAAGCAGAGAAACCGAACGCAGTGGATGCTCTGCTCTTACAGCGTTAACATGAGATTCAGTTGTCATGAAAACGTCTGGGCCATCACACACCACTTCTCAGTCTTTCCTTAAACGTAAGGCAAGCCTCTAAACTGAGGCAGATGAAATGATTCCGCCAGAAAATGAGTGTCTTAATGGCTTTTCTTATCTCTTTATCTAACTAATCATACTAGTCATTCCATTTTTTCCTTATTATGAATAGGCAGTGTTTACTGGATATTTATCAAATGGAAAGTATGGCGATAAATTCTTTACGTGTATCATCTCATTTTTTTTAAACCTTCTTAAGACAACTTGCTTCTGAAAAATGTGGACAGGATATTTGATTCTTTTTCTAATGATTTCAGTCCTCACCTGACGATACATTCCCTGATTTTGGAGAGAGAGGAACTGGGAAGGAGGGGCTGGGCAGGGAAGACAGAGAGAAAAACACTGATGTGAAAGAGAAACATCAATCAGTTGCCTCCTGTAGCACCCTGACCAGGGATCTTTGATCCCTGCAACCTAGGTATGTGCCCTGAACAGGAATCAAACCCACAACCTTTTAGTGTACGGGATAACACTCCAACCAACTTAGACACCCAGCCAGGGCTCGACCTCTCCTAAATGAATCACCTAATGTAATCACTTAGAAGGAATCATTTTTACTAGACTACACTTACCAAAATACACATTATTTTAAACTAATTATACAAAATAACATAATACAGTCATCTCCCATTTGACTCCCATTTAGTCAAATGTTTGCACATATCACATTTATTTAGACCCATCTCATTCCAAAAAGGGACATGAGGCAGTTTTATTTTATGCCTTGTAGGTAGGAAATGCTACATTCATGCTGAATCCTTCCCAGAAATTGAATTTAATTAAGTTTTGGCTCGCGAGATTTCCTTCCTTGTGTTACAAAACATCTTCTTTTCTATACAAAATCTCAAATTTTGGAAAAGCAAAAAAAAAAATAAGAGATATGATTAAATTATGCTTTTTGTCAGTGTTTAAAGGATGCCTCAGCCTTGTAAATAGCTCAAGCTGTTCACATTGCATGAGAACAGCAGGATATAACTGCATTATCATGAACTGGAGTTTCGTTCCCCCACCTTCGCTGTAAGCTTGTCAGAGACAAGCGCCACCCTTCCATTACTAACATGGAACCAGGCCTGCGGCCTGCGCTTCTTGAAATGTGCTCCACCAACTAGAGAACCGACCAGATGTTCTGCGGAAAGCAAATGCTCCCTGGTCAAATACATTGGAGAACTGCTAACCCTTCTCTCAGAGAACACCGTGAATTCTTTATGTTTACTCGGTCATGAAACCACCCCGTTTCTAGGACACCAAATCATCACAAACTGTTCACACACTCGAGAAAATACTATGGTAGGGAAATGCTTAGGTGCTAGTTGAGGAAGTAGACCTTTCAGAGAAGTCTGCCTTATTACACATAAAGAGTAAACCCTTCAAGTTAAAATCATTACCGTCTTACCCCTCTGAAGCACTCAAACATTGCTAAGATACACCGTCTGTAGCCACCACATTGCTTGGGAAGACCGAAGTACAATAGGAAATAGGACAATGGAGTGTTTACTGGTCCTTTTCAAACCCATCACGTGGGGTCTGTGAGTTCTCTGTTTAGCTCTATCTAAGTCTTGTGAGAACGTGCTGTTTTCATGGCTACATGTATATTTAATAATGATTGTAAGAAAGCATATAGGTATGAAAATAAATGCGGTAACATTCCAACCTTTGGCCAACATAAATCTCCTAGTAGTAAGATGACCATTCTCTCCTTTATGAAACAGCCTGTAAACTATAAAATGCTGCTTTACAAGACTGAATCGTTGATCAAAGTGTAAACCATTTCCGATACCCCAGAAATGCTAGCAAACCAATAAGCCAATATACCTGCTATAATTCTGAACCATGATAAACAGTATATATGAATAGTGTGTTTTTTCTTGTTTTTAAGAATCATGCTTAAATACATAGTAACAGTGTTCTACAAACATAACATAATTTTATTTATTTTTAAAACAAGGAAGTCATCCTTGGGTTCAGGAAATGACCACCCACATTGGGGAGTGTCCCCAGCACTGCAAATGGGCCGTATGCTCAGGGTCGTTACAAATGTTGCTGAGTGTTTAGGCATTACCAGCAAACTATGTAATGTTACTGTGCTGATTCTGATCCATATAGATCAATATGGATCAGCATTTCAAAACTGGGGTGGAATCACTTAAAAAGTTACATCATCTTTTTGGTTTCTGGACAGGAGTAATTTTCCTGCAGTAACACATCAAATGAAAATCTCATGTAAATGTATTCACTCCCTGTCTGTGCTTAATAGAATTATTGGGTTGGCCAAAAAGTCCATTTAGTTTTTTCCATAAAATAAAAGCCACATTTTTCATTTTCACCAATAATTGTATTGACGTTGGTATTTTGAGTATGTTGGCTATCTCCCGCAACGGGCTTGTAGTGGGTACAGGCCAGGGGTGCTGCTAAACATCTTCCAATGGATCAGACAGCTCTGCAGCAAAGAGTTATTTGGCCAAAATGGTAATAGTACCAAGAAACTTTGCAAACCACTTTTGACGCAGATGACTGATCACAGCACCTTCTCCATATATTGCACACATCTTTTTTTGCATTTCAACTGCATTTTGAACTTTCTTGAAACAATAAAGCACAGTACACTGAAAATGCTGTGTATCTTCTTCCATCTTCAATATTAAAATGGTTGCACAAAAACTCACCAATTTTGATAAGATTTTTTTAAAAAGCATGCTGATATGACAGCTGTCACAATGCAATCTAACAAAGCTGTTTCAAATGAAGTTAAAGACAACTAAGCACTACTAGGCCCACTGTATGGAAAAAAAACGAATGAACTTTTTGGCCAACCCAATACATAGAAGTTTACATTGATAGCTGAGGTGTTCTTGGCCCCATACTAATAAGGAACCTCGTGAACAGGGAATAAAAGGGATTTTACTTACAGAAATAATTTTTTTAAAGATTTTATTTATTTATTTTTAGAGAGAAGGGAAGAGAGGGAGAAAAATATCGGCTCACAAACTAGTCATGTGCCCTGACTGGGAATTGAACCCATGACCTTTTGGTTTGCAGGCCGGGCCTCAATCCACTGAGCCACACTAGCCAGGGCCAGAAATAGTTTTAAAAGTGTAAACTATTTGCCTTTGTGTAAATGTTACTTCTAATTTAGAAATCTGAAGAACTTTAGACTCTCTTCAAAATGGTTTGATATAAGATCTTCTCAACTAACAATAAAACATACACGCATGTGCTTTTTGACGAAATATGTGAAGGAAGATATTTTGTTCCCAGGAAAGTTTACAAGCCTCAAAATCTTGGGCAAGTACACGAAGGGAGGGTTGGGAAGGACTCATCATCCTTTCACAACGACAAGATAAATGTACAAATGTTCTTGGCTATAAAGGAAAAACAAGACAATCAAATTTCCTCCTGATGAAAAAGACTGCGATTCAAATAACCAAGATTTTTCCAAAACTAAATTTCTAATACACATCACTTTTTACATAACAAAGGAATAGGATTTCCTTGACACGCCAAGTAATTTTTAATTCTACAAGCCTGTGAAAGGCATTCCATCCAAGAACACTGAAAAGTTTGTCTTCTCTCTTTAAAAAAACATCGACCCTTGCGTATGTAGTTTTACACACATGTTCACCAATATGTTGTGAGCAACTTTTCCCTTTCAATAAATATCATTCGGGTTTAAAGGCCAAAAAAAAAAAAAGCACAAATAACGAGCATGAGTTTCTCTAAGGTTGTAAGTTACCTTTCAAGTCTTTCTTTAGTTTTCTGAGATCTTTTTGAAAATCTTCAAACTTCATCTGGGACGCCTGGAAAAGGTCCTGGGGTTCCGGTAACGGGAAAACACACTGTTCTTTTCCGGCATCCTGATCAGCAGGAAACACATAATTTTTCAACAAATCAGCATTAATATGAAGAAGGATCACACAATAGCAATAATGGCAAAACAATGAAAACAAACAAGGCCCAATCATTCAACAATAAAGAATACCAAAACGTACCTATACGCAAAACTCGTCTTACCTCGTCAAAATTCCGAAGATAATAGGAGACAATGTATGACAAAAGGCTTCTGCTATTGTCCTAGGCAGAAAAACCAAAGTAAGTCAAAATGCATTTTTTGAAAATTATTAAAGATGCAGTGTTCAATAAAATAAACTCTGAGAATTCAGTGTGTACAGATGAGAACACTTAGGATGGAACGTGAAATTGTCTATTTCAAATGACGTGAGGGACTGCACCTAAGGATGGCCCCGAGGACCCCGTTTTCCCCAGGGCTCCCGTCTCGGCTCCGAGAGCTCGGCGCAGCTGGTGCAGGGCGGAGTGTCAGCTACAAACGCTTTCCAGTTTTCCCTCCCTTCCATCAGGAAGTCAGTTTACTGATCTTTATCTTTTGTTACTAAGAGGTGAAACTGCTGTCTTTATGAAGCATTCTTTTTTTAATTATTTTTTTTGCATGGCTCCAAGTCTGTACTAGATCATCTGAATGTGGAAGACCAAACGTGTATTTATATAATGAACATGTATAAAGGACCCACGGACAAAGCCAAAGCGGGTAGGATGGAGGGTGGGGGTGGGTAGGGTGGGGGAAAGTGGTGGGGGGAAAACGGAGACAACTGTGTTCGAACGTTAATAATAAAAAAAATTAAAATTAGCCCTGGCTAGCGTAGCTTAGCGGACTGAGCGTGGGCTGCGAACTAAAGCATCACAGGTTTGATTCCCAGTCAGGCCCCCAGCTCATGCCTGGGCTGCAGGCCATGACCCCCAGCAGCTGTACATTGATGTTTCTCTCTCTCTTTCTCCCTCCCTTCCCTCTCTAAAAATAAATAAATTAAAAAAATTAAAATTAAAAAAAATCCCTAGGATACTAACTACATTCCCTAGAATGTTCAGCCTAACTATAACTTTCCCCATATTTATAGCAAGAATAACATCCCTGTATAAATGAGCTTGACGTGATATGGTAACACACCTATTAGAGACGATCTTCATAGTAATATGTAGTAGCAGTAGTGGTAGTAATGATTACTAATAATGCAATATCTATTACACAGGAATACATAGCAACATTAATATTAACAAAATATACTTATTAGAAACAAGATTTGCTTGCAAAATAATGTAAGCTATTTGACCTCCTTTTACTTTTCTAAGCTATAAATCAGTGAAACGGTTAGCAGTATTTGAAACAATTAACAAGACATTTATTGAATGCCTGCTAATAGCATGCTGAGCGAAAACTCTAAGGGCCCTGAGTAGCAGGCAGGTTTAAAGATGGTATTAAAGAGGACACGTATATTCATTTTACAGAAAAAGAACCACATCAGGAAGAGTTTGCATAGCGTTTGTGAGAACACAAGTGAATTTCTTTTGTAAAAACTCCTGCTCCCTGAATCATTGTTTAATTTTTATCTAGATTACTCCTCAATGATTTAAATGAATTAGATTTCACTTACTGGGGAATTGAATAAGATATGTCAACCAAATAAAATAAATCCTTTGTTCATATATAAAATGATTATGAAAATCACTTCAGATACATTTGTTTTAGGTTTTATTTATTTATTTTTAGAGAGAGGGGGAGGCAAGGGAGAAAGGGAAGAAGAGAAACTTCAACGTGAGAAAGAAACACGATTTTTCATTCCACTTATTTATGCAGTCATTGGTTGATTCTTGTATGTGCCCCAACCAGGGACTAAACCCGCAACTGTGCCACATACCTTGAAAGGGCACTGAACCAGCAACCTTCCAGTTTGTGGGTCGATGCCCAACCAGCTGATCCACACCAGTCAGGGCCAGATACATTTTTATAAATTAAACGTTAGGTCAATGTCACATATATTCCTACGTTATTTTCAAAAGTTACTGTTTCAATCCAACAAGCAGTTGCTAAGAACTATTCAGGAACTACCACGTGTTCAGAGAGCTTTGGTTTTTGAGAAATGTGCTTCAGAAGGTTGACATACTGAAGGTCCCTCTGAAAGTACACATCATACAAATAAAATAGCATTTGAACACATGCAGCCAATGAACATCAAAAATCTTATATGTTGTTGGTGTTCCAAGAAGGGACTCTTGTCTTCCTCAATTTTGGAAACACACAGCCTGTGTCTGCATGGACGTGTGACTGAATAAACACATTGTTGGCCAATGGAAAAAAACAGGCAGCGCCTCTTTCTTAGGAGGGAGATTTAGTTTATTATCTAGGAAGAACAAGTTGATGTATTTTCATCTCTATAGGCCAATTGCTTACTTACGTTCAATAGTATAAAAACCTCTTCACAATTTCCTTCGTTAAACAGGTCTGTGTGGACACTCTCTTATCAGAGAAACAGATTTCTTCTATTTTCAAAGTTCATAGTCTCAGACTTCAACTCTTACTACCACAGTTGTTTCCCTAAACTTGTATTTGTACTGACACTCTCATAGTCTCTTAGATGTTAATTTTAAGGAAACACACCTATCAAAGTGGGACCAAAAAGTAATTAGGCTGCAAAAAGACTCAGGTGTTCTGATACATGCCAGCATCAAGGAGATGATATGCAGAAAAACAATCATCTTTTATTTACAAACTATTTTTCCTCATCTTTGTTTTGCTTAAAATGGAGGGGAAAAAGAAAGTAATGGATATACTGTCTAATTTATGGAAATTAATTAGTCATCAGGGTCCAAAAAGATAAATATTAGCACCCACGGTAGAGTGAAAAAAATTATTTTTATTTTAAAATATTGACTACTTAATTATTCATTACACATAGAACTCAAAACCACTCACTTTAGGAAACATTATTATTCACTAAATCACAAATATATGATAGCCATGACTTTTACCTAGTTCAGAACACAAAGAAACTTTTGAACTTGGGATTTAAAGAAATATTTATTGCAACTGGGTTATAGGCAGGCTTATTCCTAAACAAGACGACAAACCCTCCACGCGCCCACATTCACTCGTGCAAAATACTTACACTGCTCTTGACGTCTTTGAGCTTCGGGAGAATGTCCAACCCGAAGCCGTCCGCCTGCCCCCGAGTCTTATTCCCACCATTCATGTAGTTGCCAAAGGCCAATACCAAGCCCAGAACCTGCATCACCCCGGGGCCATTTTTCAAGGTCTGTCAAACAGAATGAAGAGCAACTTCTCTGTTATACAGCGTTTTATTTGATGTATCGTTAAGCTCATGGCTGATACCCATGTTATGCTAATTGTTTTGGGTCATATCCAAACTTTATTATTGTTCATTATTATATTTAAAGAGTCATGTTTCCAAAGTGGAAAAAAGTCTAGGCCATTTCTAAGAAAGAAGTAAGATTTATACAATGACAACTACTACAGAATAATGTCATTGCTGTCATCCTGGGCAACAGGCATTTTTGGCATCGTTGTGGTAAACTAAAACACAGTTATAAGTATTAATGTCCAAATTTAGATTTATCCCTGAAAAATTCATACTTACTTCTCCAAAACACAAAGTTTAACCTGAATTCGCAGGCCACTTCCTCTGAAAATGTGCCTTCGATAACTACTCACAGCTTTTCAAAATAATTTGCCAGAATGAGAAGAAATGGTTCTATTGATTTGTGACAAACTGTTTTAAATGTCAATATTGCTAATTTCTGCCAAGAGTTTAGTCTTTGTTTTCAGGAGAATACTGATCTTCTGTGGAACCACACGGCTGTTCCTAAATCATGTGGTTGGAATCATGCACATTTTATTGAGGGACCCTTCCAAATACGAAGGAAAGGAAAGAGAATGCCCTGAAATTGCATTTAATTGGAAGTACGATGTATGAGAGGACCATGAACAGTGAAGGTTCTGCTTTGACAAAAGCAGAAGGGACAAAAGTCTCCAGAGGTCCATCAGCAATGACCACATTCGGGCACAGGGGTCCCCTGCGGACCAGTGCGCCTGCCTGCATACCTGCTTTGTTCTGGAACCTCAAACACAGTGTGGTTTCTTCTGTAGGTCTGCTACGCTTCAAATTGTATGAGCACTTAGAATAAATAAAAACTTTTTTGAAATATGAACATGCCTGTACCCAATTACGTATCAGAATCCAAGCTTCAGCCCTCTGCACATCACCACCCACCTCACATAACTTCTGCAGCAACTCCAGTTTGCGACGAATTGAGCAAATGCTCTCTGAAAATGTGGACTGGAACAGGATGCAAAAGACTCGCTCGGAAAAGTTGGGGATGAGGGACAGCTCATAAAGAAACCTAAGGAAATAACGCCAAGTTAAGAGGGAAAACATAACATATAAGCAGATGTTCAACCTCATATCATTCGTAACTATGAACAGAAGACACGGAATTTCCCGAGTGGAGGGAACCCGCCCCTAGCCCCCTGGACGCCCCCCTGCAGAGGTGTAAGGCGTGCTTACTGTTCGGGCTTGTCCAGAGACTTGGCGTTTTCCTTGTCTTTGGAGGACCGGCCATGCTTTTCAATTTTTTCCAGTTCGTCTGACTGTGCCCTCTGCAAATCAAAAGCCAAGCTGATTTTCAAAATCAGGTCCATGGAATCTCTTAGATAATGGTGATCGTAATACAGCGAAACTATACACATTTTCATATTTCCTAGCATTTCTCTATAGTAAAGCTTGACTTCACTCATGAGGCATTAAAGTGTAAATATGCTTAATGAAAACCAGATCATCTCGAAATCTTCCAAAAAATGTTATTGACTATCAGTGATCTGGCCAAACATTTACTTATTCAAGCATGTTTTAAAACAATATGGCCTTCTCTCGCTTTTTGGCTGTTTATAATACTCTCCAGAATGCAAGAATTTCATTTTAAAGTAGTATTTCTTATAAAGGAATCAATTAAATTTGGAAATGAGTTGATTCTAAGGTTGTTATAAGATTGTTAAAGGAAAAAAATACTTATTTAACTATTGCAATCATTGTTTATGGATATTTTTTTCTTAGGGGAAAGAAAAATGCAATTGAATTATTAAGTCATGGAACAAAAATAAAAGGTTTTGATCCTTTTGCTGAATTTTCTTTTTGCTACAAAAAAGGTCTGAGGCTTCTTCTCTTCCTAAAAGTGTTTTCTTTCAACCCTTTATGAAATCAAGCTAAAAATGTGTCATTCTAAATTTGTTTCTTTATAGAGAGGATCTTCTGCATTTTTAACTGAAGGTAGAAGACTTAATAGACTTGGAGAATCACAAATCTATTCTTCTTTATGGAGGATTTGGAGGATTTTTATCTGTAATCTTACCTTTTTTATCATTCACAAACATGTTGCAAAGCAATCAAATACTACCTTTTCTAAATGCATTGACAGGTGTGAAGAAACTAGCGTAACTTAAATTACAGTCCAGTCCTCAGAACTTAAGATCCTTTCAACGTTATTTTTTGTTTCGACAGAAAAGTAGTTTGACCAAGAGCTGCTGTAGAAGACAGAACCTGAGAGATTTCTAGAGACTCTCTCTATTTCATCTAACAAAGCTACGTTCTGTTTTGTAGTCACTGGTTTCGAAATGGAGGTTTTCGGCTGATGAGATTAAAGAAGACAAGTTCCTCAAAGGAAGCGTTTTTTAACAGGGGAAGAGGATTTGATGACAGATCAGTGAATCTTCCACAGGCTTGATAAATTTTGCTTTGGGAATATGACGGAACAAAAGGATATAAAGAAATAAAGGGGGTGCATTTAATGTAAATAGGTTAAGCTACTCCAAAACTTTAGAAATTTAGACCCTTCATTTAGAATTGCAATTACATGGTTCTTTGAAACATTCTTTAAAAGTGCATTTATTGATTTTAGAGATAGAGGAAGGGAGGGAGGGAGAGGGAGGGAGAGGGAGGGAGGGGGAGGGAGAGAAACATTGCTGTGAAAGAGAAACATCCATTGGTCGCCTCCCACACATGCCCTGTCCAGGGATCAAACCCGCAGCCTTTGGGTGTACGGGATGAAGCTCCAGCTAACTGAGCCACACTGGCCAGGGCAGTAAGCTTACTTTTTTTCCTCCCTGTGGCCTTGCCCACAAATTGTAGGAGAGTAAACACCACGTCATTTACTTATAGTTACCACTCATAAGAATGAGCCCCAGATTAATATAATTTATGATGTATAGTTAATAGTCATTTTTTCATAGAAAAAACTAAACCAGTAATTAAACAGCAACAAAGAAGGCCTCCCAAATCAAGGTAGAAGACAGAGGTGATAAGAGGCAGGATACTAATAACAGGACAATATAAGAAATACTGAGAACATGATGATATGCAGATAATGCCAACTGTTTCGCAGCATGCTTAGAGTACCGTGGAGGTCCTTATGAGCTCATTTGAGCTCCAAGATAGATAGCTGTGGATGCATATAGTAAAGTTAGTCCTTTCCGTGGTAGGACACAAAGAGGTAAGTAAAGAAGGAAGTAGCTGTGCCCAGAAAAGGTGCATCCACTTTCACTCTTCTTTGCCTTCATTCACCACAACCCTCTCATGCACCCATCACTCCCGTCATATGCAGGAATACTTAAGAATATAATGGTATATACAACAAGTAGGCCTGAAGCATAACAGGATTTTTTAAGCAACATTAACCAAATATGCAAGTTTCCTCTACTCACTAATACACCATGACCAACTGTTTCTATCCCATCACCTTGACTTTCTTCTTGCAAAACATGAAGGATCAAGCAAAAGTCAATTATTTGCCACCTTCGAAGGACACAAACTCTCATTCTTATCAGCAACCACACACTGTATGTCAAACTTGTTCCAGCAATCGTCTGGATGACGTTTGCTCTGCTGGGCCTTCTAAGTAAATTTAGTCTCAACTGTTCTTCTCTGGTCCACAAGTTTAAGGTACTCAACAGGGTCAGGCTTCTAAAAAGATGAATTTCAGGGATTCATTCATCCACGCATTTAAAGGTCTATTGTTTACTAGGCATTACGCCAGACACCAGGGATAAAAAGATCCATGTGAGACTTCAACCCAGCATACAACATAGTAAGTTGTTCACAACACCACTCTTATTTGCATAACTCTTGTATAGTCATCCTCTTCCACGGCTTTTTAAACCTATGTGCAACTCTCTATATATGAAGAGGATGCTGATGATTGCACTACCATATTCATGGTGATGGGAGTCATTTGTTAAAATAGGTTGATTCTTCCTATGGCCAAAGATAAGGGCAAAGTAGCTACATGTTTACACATCAGTTAATAAAACAAAGAAATTTCCAAGTTCCAAACATTCAAATAATAAACTTTCCCCCTCCCAGTCTCAAATCCTTCCCAGTCAAACATCCCTTATAAGATTAAATCTTTCAGTCTCTTGTAATACAAGGATTTTTTTGGCTTCTGCTCAAGATGGTGGAGTAGGTAAAGGCTGTGTTCATGTCTTCCTATGGCCACATCAAAATTACAACTAACTTACCGAACCACCGCCAGTTAGAACTGAAGACCAGCTGAGCAGAACTCCTATAACTAAGGATTTAAGGAAGAAGCCACATCAAGGCTGGTAGGTTGGGTAGTGATGCAGGATGAACGGGTTCCAAGACCACGGTGTGGCAATTAAGATTGGGAGCGACATCTCCACTGTGCATGCTTCCTGTTGAGTGAGGGGCCCGGCCCCACCCTGGACTCCCTAGACCTGGGCACCAGAGCCAGGAACAGGAGACCCCACAACATGCGGCTGTGAAAGCCAGTGGGGATTGCATCCAGGAAGGAAAGAGGGCTGCTGGAGGCGAAGGCTACGCTCTTACAAGGCCACACGTAGATTCACTTGTTCACAAACCTACTCGCTCTCAACTCTGGCAAAAGGACAGCAGCTCAAAGAGCACCAAGGGCATATGGGGGGAACTAACTTGAGTAACTTAAGGGCAAGGGATAGAGGGACAGGGGTCAGATCACCTCTCTCCAGGGACAGAAGTGCTGGCAGGTGCCACTGTTCTTCTGTGGAGGTCCCCCTCCACCCAGCCAGGACAGCAGAGGCAGGTGCCAAATCTGAGCTCTCTGTTACCCTGGCTGATGCTGCTTCCTGGGTTGTGATTTTCTGAGACCCTGCCACAATGAACTCACCCACCGGGTCCGAGCCTCTTCCAAAGGCTCCACCACACAAAACAGCAAAAAGAAAAAGAAAAAGAGAAAAAATAATTTTAAGAAGTGATGACAGTTTAAGAAACTTCTGGGACAACATCAGTCCTACCAACATTTGCATCATAGGAGTACCAGAAGGAGAAGAGAGGCAGAGAGGGATTGAAGAAATAATGACTGGAAATTTCCCTAAGCTGGTAAAGGAGGTAGACATACAAGTCCAGGAAGTACAGAGAGCACCAAGTCAAATGAACCCAAAGAGGCCCACAGCAAGATGCACCATAATTAAAATGCCAAAGGTCAAAGACAAAGAGAGAATCTCAAAAGCAGCAAAAGAAAAGCAATTAGCTCTGTACAAGGGAGCTGCCTTGTACAGCTAGTTTCTGCTAGATTATCGGCTAGTTTCTGAATGGAAACTTTGCATTCCAGAAGGGAGTACGTGAAATATTCAACATGAAAAGCGAATACCTACAACCAGGATTGCTCCAACCAGCAAGGCTATTACTTAGAATCAAAGGAAAGACAGAATTTCTAAAACAAGAAAAAGTCAAAGGAATCCCTCACCACCAAACCAGCATTACAAGACTCCTGTTAAAGGGATTAAAGCAGGAGCTGGTTCCTTAAAAGATAAACAAAATTGATCATTGCTTACCCAGATTCATTAAGGAAAAAAGCAAGAGGCCCCAAATACATGAAATCAGAAGTGAAAGTGACAACTGATACCACAGACATACAAAGGATTATAAGAAAACACTACAAGCAATTATATGCCAACTAATAGGACAACCAGGAAGAAATGGATAGATTTTTAGAAATATCCAAACAGGCCCTGGCTGGTGTAGCTCAGTGGATTGAGCTTAGGCTGTGAACCAAAGCATCACAGGTTCGATTCCCAGTCAGGGCACATGCCTGCGTTGCAGGCCACGGCCCCCAGCAACTGCACATTGATGTCTCTCTCTCTCTCTGTCTCTCTCTCTCTCTGTCTCTCTCTCTCTCTCTCCCTCCATTCCCTCTCTGGAAATAAATAAATAAAATCTTAAAAAAAAAAGAAATATCCAAACAACCAAGAGTGAATCAGGAAGAAGGAGAAAATCTGAACAGACTGATAACTACTAACAAAATTGAATCAGTAACCAAAAAACTCCCCACAAACAAAAGTCCTGGAGCAGACGCCTTCACAGGCAACCAAGTGAATGGGACAGTACAGCGTGAGGCAAAAGGAGGTTTATAGTTGTGAGCACACAGAACAGAGTTTATTCTTATATTATTTAATAATTATTGTACTGTTTTCCATATAAACTGTAAACCTACTTTTGCTCACCTTTGTATATTCATAGGGGTTGATTTTAAAATACATGAGGAACTCCTACAACTCAATAGCAATGACAACAAATCCTGATCACCCCCTGCCCCAGCATCAACTCCAATTCC